GTCCACTACTTTTAGAAGATGAGTGAAGATATGTTGCTTTCCCTTGCAAACAAATATTGCATAGCAAGTTTTTAACTCTTTTAAGAACTTAATTAAAGGTTCAATTGCTTTGCTTCAGGTATGGCTGGAGAACCACAGAATGGACTGAATGCCGTGTTGACCCTCTACTTAGCCAACAGGACAAAAGACGAGGAAATCAGACAGCTCTGTGTGGAGGTGGGATTCAGACCCGTGAAGTGTACTGTGTGCAAGCTAATGAAAATCTCCTCTCCTACTTAAATACCCTTAAGGAAAAAGAAGGTAAATTTGATTCATTTACAACTGAATTACTATGAAAAGTGAACACTTCAGCATGCCAGAACTTTCTGACCTCCATTGTTATCTGTCACAAGTGCCTTATTTCATTATAGGTTACTGTGATCTGTGGTTTAAAAATCTAATTGAAATGGAAATCTAATTGAAATGGAAATACTTAATTGTAAAATGGTTCGGTGCTCCATTCTTCAAATGTCAGTTCCTTACTGAAATTACAAGATTTTCTGAAAAATGTTTTTATCCTCACTGAAGGATATGCTTAAGATAAGAGATACAAATAACTGGGAGCTGGGAATCCTGGGCTCTAGTCCCAGTTTTTTTGTAGGTTTCCTGTGTTACCTTGTAAAAATCACTTAAATTTTCCATGCATCTGTAGATACCCCCTCCCCCTCCCCCATGCATTGTAAACAAAAATAAAGCTTTAAAAGCAATATGGAAATATATAGAAAGGAAGTTGCTGTAGACACTCAGAAAAGTACTATATTGTAGATTGTTGTGCAGACCTATTACCTCGCATTTGTATGGCATTGTATTTCTAAAAATTGGAATAGGAAACAAAGTTAAAGTGAAGAAAACTTCTGCAAACTGAAACCAAAAAGTTTCTCACTGTTGTGTCCCCTAAATTTCCTCAAGTGAAGAGAGGAAAACTTTGGAAGTTATTTTCCCAATATAACAAGGATACACACATTAATGAGAGTTTCAAAAATGTTCTTAGGATAAAGGACGATATTATGATCTAGTTAATGTACATTGAGTAAAGGCTTGTGAGATTGGGGTCAATACCTGTTCTTATTACTGCAATTTACAATCTGTCTAATGTGGATAATAAAAATTACCAGTTGCTGTGGTGATTTGAGTCTGACAAAGACTTAGTTAAATAAATGTCAATAGCTTCTGTGATATAATTATATATTTCTTGAAGAACAAAACTTGAGTGAATAATTTTATATTAATATGCAGTATTTTGCATTATTTAAAGTAAATTTATACTGAAGTTCTATCAACTAATAATTCATAAAACCTTCAAGATAAGTTATGCTAAATGCATTTAGTTCATTATCTAACATTATTTTTATACATTGTATTCTGAATCTGGGTTATGCAAATTTACATTGCTATGAGGAAATACAGCCACATATTCCAGAAAAAGGGACATCCTTAACTTGGGCATGGCATACAAATTAAATATTTAGAATAGAGGTGACTTAACTACATCCAACAAAGTACTGTAGCATAGGACAAGGTAACTTTCATGCCTAATATAGAGGTGCAGCCTGTGGAGGGTTTTAGCATCCATTTTAATACTGTTCCTGGAGTAGTTTTGCTTAGACTTTGGCATCCTATGGACTGTACCTCTATATGCCAGAAGGAGGGAGCCTTCAAGCTGCTTCATTTAATGAAAATATGCTGTAGCTCCAGGGCTCTTGGCAAATCACCTCAGTGGGACAGAGTTTAGATGCTCTGCCTTGGAAGTAAAGAGTAACAAACTATCATCTAAGGGTGATCAACAGTAAAATCTGGAATCACTTCCTGTTCAAAATGATTACCAGGAGTTCGTAGCCTGTAAAGGCTTGCTGGCTTAGGCTGGCATGAAATCTGCCTTATCAGAATGTAACAGGAATATGCAGAACCCATCAGGAGGTAATCTCTATACCCTGGAGAAAGCTGATTAAAGTGTAACTATAACTAGTCTTTGGATGCATAAACATGAGATACTTTTTCAAGATCTCAAACTAGGGGTGAAGTGGGTTTTAAAAGTTCTGGGGACATTTCCGTAGTAGGAGAATTTTTTTTTTGAAGTTGCTTTTATTTTATTTTTTTAAGCCAGTGGAAGGAGAACTGCAACTCTTAGAAACAATGTCTCTTAAAATGATGGGATTTAAGACCTGGGAATGATTCAGGAAGGAAAGGTGGGGGGGGAAGTTCCAAAGTCTAGCAGTGGGCAAGCCCTTGTTTACTATGTAGCTCTTCAGTTCATAACATCTAGTTTTAATTCAATAAGGCTGTTCTGGAAACCTCCATTCTCACATACTCATGGTGGTGTTTCCCTGTTATTTCAGAAAGTCAGTCACAGAGCACGTCGAAGTCTAGTGCTGCTCCACTTCTATCAATCACTTTTGAAATAACAGGTAGGTAATTAAGGCCTTGTACCTAATGTTTCATTCAAAAATGTGCAAGGAGGCACTGTCCCTTTTGGGGGAATTATGTTGGCTGTATGTAAATTAAAAGTATAACTCTTTCTCAAATAGTTTCTCTCGTTTCAACCCTATGGACTCTCACACATACCATTAATAAATAAATAAAGACATGAGTATATCAACTGACAGGCTTGAAATACAAATTAATATGCTGGATTGATCAACTTTGATAAAGTAAGAACCACCGCCGTCCATAATCCTTTGAACCTTCTGGTCCAAAAGTGCTGGGAATTTCTTTCTTCTCATATTTCCAGTGGCCCTTTCTACTTCAGCTTTTTTGCGGTTTTAAAAGACTTGCATAGTTCATATTAGATTCAGATAAAAAGCTGAGTTTAGGATACTGATCTGGATCAGAATTCCAAGGCAGGTTCAGAAATTAATTATCCTGAAATTACAATTAGCTATCTTCAGAAATTACAAAGATTTGAGAAGGCAAGATTCATTGGGTAGATGTGATATCTTTATTAGACCAACTGAGTAGATGGAAATAAGTTCTTAGCAAGCTTTTGGGTGCAGTCACCCTTCATCAGGCATAGGGAGGCTCTGCTGGTCTGACAACCCTTCAGACTTTTAGCTTCTCTCATTCCTTGGAGTCTCAGACCAGCAGAGCCTCCCTATACCTGATGAAGGGCGACTGCACCCAAAAGCTTGCTAAGAACTTCTTTCCAACTACTCAGTTGGTCTAATAAAAGATATCACATCTACCCAATGAACCTTGCTTGTCCTTAGACCAACATGGTTACAACCAACGATGCTGCTCTAAGAGATGTGACTTGAAT